GGGGGGGGGGGGGGGGGGGGGACGGGAAACAGCATAAGATAATCCTATACAGAAGATAGGAGTTATACTAACCTGAGTGTGAACTTTAAACATGGTAAGCCAGTCTCCTCCAACCAGACACCACCTCCTACCCAAGGAACTATGTGAGGAATTCTGGGAATTGTAATCCTAACACATCTGAAGGTTACCAGATTGGGGAAGGTGGCTAGAGATACTTAACTACCTTTGTGCTTGTGTGCATTCTCTGGGATCCAAAGCTAAGTATCTAAGGAATTTTTATCAAGAGATCTAGACCCCTCTTACCTGGAAAGATCCTAAGGCTTTTTCAAACAGAGCCTGAACTTCCATGATGCCGTTTGTGGTATCAAAAGGGAAAAAAGCAAAGATAATGTAATGAACTCCAAAAAGAGGGATGAGCACCAGTGTTGATTTAGCAAGCCTCCTAGGAGCAAGGAGAGAGAGAATAATAATAGAAAAAGAGGGCCAGTTTAACACTGGCTTTGGGATACAGATAGGTTCTGTGTAGCTGGGGTCCACCTCAATGTGTTACATTGCCACTTAAATGGCATAGCCAGTGGCCATGCTTATGGGAAATTATGAGAATGGTAACCCAATACATGAGGATAATGCTAGGTTGAGAAACCTGCCCTGTGGGGTGACTGCAGAAGGATTGCCCCAGCTGATTCAGCTAATGCTATACAAAAGACATTAGAGGGATTTGCCTCTCAAAATGCCCTCATATTTTCCTACGTGTTTCTGATGGTGAACCTAGAAGTTATGGAAACCTTGCCTTCCCTGAACAACCTCTTTTCCTGTTTTCCCCAAATATGCTAACAGGGTGGATTCATTCCCTCCTATTATGCTGCACACTTGACTTTTAAGTCTCCTAGCAAGAGATGAGACTCCCTGTTGCAGTAGCTTGAGCTCTCTATCCTGTTCTTTTCCCTGCTTCTAATAACATAGCTGAGCATAAAAGCAGATTCCTTAAATAGAAAGATAGATAGGTTTAGCACCCTTCACTTTATTGGGGCAATTATCCTCGAGGCAGCTTTCTAGACAGATCCATGACATGCAAACAAAGAAAACCTTTGCCCCATGGTCACTTGGTTTCCTGTTGAGTTTATTTGTGAAGCTGGTTAAAGAAACCACCTTACTTGTATTGACTGGAGTCCTTGCCTCTTCCATCTGGCCATCGAAGCTTGTTCATCAGAATCCTTACAATATTAACAAATAGAATAAAATTGATCTGTAAAACAAGGAAAGTGAGATGTTGCTGATAACATCAAAAAACAAACATCGAAGTAATTCTTCACTGCACTTGCTCCACTCCCCCACCAGTACTTTATTACATCTTCTAGGATCACCCAGCCATTGTTGAGGAGATACAAGCTTTATCCTAGATAACAGTAATAATCTCAGCACCATAATAGACATTGCTATAGCTTACTAGTGGAGAAATAGACAAGTATTCATATGGGGAAATTGGCTATGAAATAGACTTACAACAATAGAAGCCACCACAGGGCCTTGAATGAGCCACAGGGCATATGTAAGATGCATATCCCAGCATCTGTAAAGACAGCAAAAAAACAAAACAAAACTGCAATTGTCAAATGAATGAAAGGTAAGCGTTTAGTGGGTGAACATGCTAGAAAACACTGTCCTCTATCCACTATCAGCAACATCTCACTTGTGTTTCCTTATTTTATAGATCAATTTTATTCTATTTATTAATATTGTAAGGATACTAATGAACATGCTAGAAAACACCATATCACTGACGAATGCAACCATCAGATATCTCTCACCATCTATCATATTGGTGCAAATTACAGCATGCACATGTAATTACTAGAACACTCAAGAGGGTACATTGCGAGAGTGGGGCAGAGGGACAGTCTTGTTCGGGCTAGAGGGCATAGTAGATGAAGTTCTAAGGAAGATTTGAAAAGTTCAGATGAACTCAAGCATCTGCAGTGATGTAGTAAAGCAAGGAGTCTTTACATAAGCCTTTCACTTTTCTGTTGTTTGGCAGATCTAAAGGTTGATTCACATGGGCATATATACAGGTAGGTCGCGATTAGTGTGAGTTCAAATAGTGCGATATTCGATTTAGTGCAAATTGTAAATTGATACCAGGTTGCGTTTAACGCAAGCCAAAATTCAATTAATGTGAGGCTAGTGTGCGCACAGTTGAGGCTAGCATATACACAGTTGCCACTGGCGTTTTAGACGCTAATTGTTGTATAGAATTGTTGTATTCAAAAAAGAAGAGGCTCATTTTGAAGAACTACAGGAGATAGCAGGTAAGCTTTGGACATGGGTTTATCCTCCAGCTTGTCTTTAGTTCACTTGGTTAATTTATTTTAAATATTTATGAGATTTATCTATCTAGTTAAATAGGAATGATATTTAGAATGTTTTTGTTTTTATTTTGCTTTCTATAACTACTCTGTGATTTTGTTAAAAATACATTTAAATTGTAAGTATGTTCTCTTAATCTTTTATTGTTATATTTCATTAATAATCATATAAAATTATGTTTAAAAATTTTCATTGCCTACTTCTGTTAAGCTGGAACCAATTACCCTATTTTTCATAGAAATATCACTTTGAATACTGCAAATTTGAATAACGTGACCATTTGGTGGGATTCATTATTAGCACTTATCGAGACCTACCTGTACTTTTCACCATGATGGTTGCAACACAGGTATGTTTCCTGTACAGACAAAATAACCAAATACCAATGGTAGAGTTTTATCATCAAGCACAGTGCTTATCAATGAAATCAGTTCATAAATCTCTCCCACCCACCAATATGGGTTATTGGATTTCCACAGGAGAGATTTGGCTCACATCTTTTTTCAGCATGATGCCACTCTCTTTAATCCTACCTTATAGGACTGTTGTGAGAACAGAAGAAAATTATTTATGTATACCTCCTCTGCCCAAGAACCTACACCACTTTCTCTCATCTGATTATTTTACAAGCTTGCTGAAGCCCTAAAAAGGGTAAATAGCTGGCCTGGTTTAACTGTAAAATCTTATACTAAAATGGCTCTTGGAAAAAAAAAGTTTGAAGGACTTGTCAAAATGCAGCTTCTCAGTTCCCTTTTCTTTCATTTTATTTGTTCAACTCATTTCCCAATCTCTGAACCCAGTACTGGATTGCATTCACCTTTGAATGTGAGCATTGCAAAACCTCCCCCTAGTGGATGGGAAATTATCAAAATCAAAAAACATAATGGTATACAGTACAATAATCGTATTTTAAGAGCCAGTTTAGTGTAGTGGTCGAGGCATTAGGTGGGAGACGGGGACGTTCTAGTCCCGCCTAGGCACAAAGACAGCTGGGTGACCCTGGGCCAGTCACTCCCTCTCAGCCCTAGGAAGCAGGCAAGGGCAAACCACCTCTGAAAATCTTCCCAAAGAAAACTGCAGGGACTAGTCCGGGCAATTGCCAGGAGTGAACACTGACTTGAAGGCGCACACACACACACACAATTTTAAAAAACATGTTAAGGGACCTGCCATTTTTGCTAAAAGAGAGTAAAATAGCTGCTTTTTTAGAATTTGTATTGGAGTCTTATCTTACTAAGAAATGCAAAGAACAACTGTACACCTGTAATTATAGCAAAAAGCTCCTGAGAGATACTGTGTTCTCATAGAATAGTTCTGGATTACTATAATGAACTCTGTTATAGTCTGTTGGATTCAGCTGAGTTCTCCTGCTAGCCCAAAGAGCCAAATACCCCATTAAGTGTGTTGCCAACTTATACTGCATGTTGTCAGTCCAAAATATGTACCATGCTATCATTTAGTGTGTTGCTTCCTCAAATACCCAGGCTAAAAATCATGACTGGTTTGGCAAGAAGAAGCTGGGATCTCAACTTCTAATGAAATTCTAAATAACGTTGAATTTGTTTACCCCAGCAGAAGGATCCAAATGGAGGCAAACAGCCTATGTTTCACTGTATACTGCTTGTTCCTGGGAAGCTAGATTCATCAGACCAGGGGGTAGGATCACTATCACTACCTTTGGGGAAGGTAAAATAACCCTGTTATTTTATGTTATTAATAAAAATGAGTTCCAGGACAAGTAGCTAGCAAGAGAAAAGGTATCTCCCTGTGATATTTATTCAACAGATGTGAAAATAGTTTGAAACCAGATTAACTGGAATGTTATCCCTCAGAAAGAGCCACAGGCACTGTCTTTTTGTAGAGGGTAAGTTCTTAAGTGAGTATTTTAGGGATCTAGACAGATGTGCAATTGCCCTGATTGACCCTGTCATGGAATGGTAAAGCAGCCCCTGGTTGTTTTTTGTTTTTGTTTTTGCAATCGATCCATATATTCCCACTGCATTTTGTTCTTTTCCACAAAAGTATGTTAAAAAGGAAAAGTTGGCATAACTGTGCAATGCCTCTCCTTGGTAGTGCTACTTGCCCCCCGTCTCAGAAAGCACTCCAGTTTCTCCCCACAATAGTTCTCAAAATGCCATACTCAGGGACCCAATACAGAGAAACAGATTTGAAACTCAGGAAGTGGAATATATGATCTGGCTTTTTATTAAGTGCTCATCCCTTCAACCTAATTTCAGAATTCCTTTCTTTTCTCAGAATGTCTGAGCACTTTGTAAAGAATAGGATTGCAATGTTTTTAAACCAATTAACATACATTTTGTGGACCAATAACTGAGACAACACTAATATATAATTGGCTGGATTCACACAAAGCCATAATATGTGATTTGTTTCATTTTGGCAAACCAATATGAACCCTGCCATTTTAGAGCTTAAAAAGAGTTCTACCACAAAACATTTGAACCCTGAAACCAGTTGTACTTACCCCAAAATAGGCTGTTTCAAATACTCCAGGAGTGATCCAGAAGTTAATCTGGACAAATTCAGAACAGCCTTGTTTTGAGGATAGATCACTTCCAGAATATTCAGAATAGTTTCTTACAGGATCAGAACATTTTGTGATGGTGCACTTTGCCCACATGTGATGCCTTAGTATTCTGTTTTATTCAGTAAATCATAGCTGAAACCAACCATGTTTTAGCATGATCTCCAAACACACTGCTGAGTTTGGAAAATGTGCTTACCCAGCATTTTCATGTAAGAGCCTGGCTATGACCCATCCAATTACAAATAATTTAGGAACACCTGCAGTAGAGAAAACAATTTTGTTGTTAGTGCCTATTCATAATATAGTGGGAAAAAACCTGAATTATGTTAGCTGAACATTTTGAATAATAATAACAAAATCCAATGACTTATTAAAAGGAAAAATGGATCTGCCTAAAAAAACAAAAGAAGGATGGATCCAACATATCTAAGAGAAGGCTGAAGTACATCACCTTTAAAAATGCCCTTACCCATTAAGACAATCCCCCCTTTCACAGCTGAGTATTGCACGAACACTAAGGGTGCTGGGTGGCGGTGATGGGAGTTGCAATCCAATATTCCTGTACAGCACCACGTTTGGAGGGAATGGTACACCTGTTTGCAAGTTCCATAAATATTCAGCTATGTCAGGGGTAGGAGCTTGGACATAAATGTTATTTTTCCCCCTAGCATAGAAAAAGAGATGGAAGAGGAATAAAGGTCCAGGACAAAGAAGAAGAAACAGGAGGAATGACAGAGCAAAAAGGAGAAGAAGAGGAACAAGCAAGAAGGCAAAACAAGGAAGGAAAAAAGTGATCCAAAGGCAATGTAGGAAGGAGAGAAACTGAGAGGCCACTGCCATGGAGTAGGCAAGGGGAATAAGCTGAGGTTTGCAATAGGTCACTGAACATCCCCAGACAACATGTTTGTCTGGAAACTAAGTGGATGCTTACCCCATCCCAGAACAACAAACCACCAGAAGAACTTTCTGTCGGAGAAGAAAGAAATGGCCAGCAGGCTGTGAAGATAAAGCCCTTCTACAAGAAGCCAACTATAATTTGCCATGATGCAGAAGTTAACAAAGGCTATGATCATCTTGCACCTGCCCTGAAGAGGAAACAAGAAACATAATAAATAAGGTACGTTTTATCTCCTTTCCAGAGATTCTTTGCTCCATTGTGCCTTATCCATGTGGTCTACCAGCTCCTTGGTCTCAGTACCTCAGAAGAACCACTGCTAGATCAGACCACCTACTCTAGCATTCTGTTGTCATAACAGAAGCCTAAAACCAAGTCATAATTCTACATATTCTGCTGAGATACAAAAATCACCACCAGACAGAGCTACATGTGCTCACGCTGGATGAATATTATATGCTTACTAGGTTTCTTTTCAGTTCCTTTCCTAACAGCCCCCAACATGGAATTTTTATTTTTCATGGCAGCCATGGGCTGGGGTAGCATTTTCATCAAGTATCTGTCACAGTCCTGAGATCCTCTGAGTGTACTATACTGTAAAACTGCTTCTACTGCTGTTTCTTCTAAAGTTAATCAAGACCATTAGATCTAGTTCTGCAAATATCTGATCTCCTGCAGGAGACAGCCTTTAGCAAGTTAAAAAGTACTATTAGGTCCTGCTATCTTAGCTTATCTAGGTGAAACATGCCCCATTTTCTTCAGTGTGATATAACTATGTATTAACCACAATTGCATACAAATACATTTGCCCCATGTTTTTTCTTTGATCTTATATGACTATTTAATTCATTTATGCTGGTAATTTTAATTGAGTTGTTACTGTCATTATAAGATCAAGGAAAAACTAAATACAACTTGTGCCACTTTAAACACTAACAACTTCTCAAACTGCACTTTTATTTAAACAAGAGAAAGATACCAGAGTAAACAACATGGCAATAACTATTTCTCTTTAAGCAACTGTTTAATAGGGGTAAAACAGGAGTGATTTTTCATTCTCAAGTAGCTTTTTTCATGCTGTAATGAACTGGGTGGCTGGGTATTTCTGCTTCCTTACTGTGTGTAATTCACAGTAGACAGCATCATCGGTGTCCTTTGACAGTATAGGATCCTTGATAAAGTTTGCAATCACCCGTAAGATGAATGAAGCAAAAAGCTGTATATGGATGTAATTCCTTGTACAGTGAAGTCTCCTATTCAAAAAGGGGAAAAAGGCATTATGCAGGGTTCGAAATTGGGATTCTTATCAGTCATATGAAGATCTAGAGAAGAGAGACCATAAGCCTATCCTGCTTGGAATCATCTGCTTTAATCTGCAGCAGGCTTTCTAAGATCTCAGCCAGAAGTCTTTCCAAGTCTTTTTCCTGAACTGACTCACTAGTGACACTGGGGATTGCATCCAAGGTAGAACATATTGCCTAGAACTCAACTATATGCAAAGAAGAGCACACTGCTCCTCCAGGTTAACATTTGTGGATTTATCAGATGGCCTGTATCTGAGGGTAAAAACTCAAATGAGTTCAGCTCAACTTGGGTGAGTTTACAAACACAGACATGTAGGCTTCCTGACTGAAGTGGCTTGCCACTGCCTACTTCCAGGATGATTTTTCCCCCCCAATTTCCTAGTTTAGCCTAAAGCCCTGGAGTTTCCTGGCAGTCTCCCACCCAAGTACTAATCCAACCCCAACCCTGTTTTGCTTTTTGAGATCATATGAGGCCTGCTAGGTCCTGCCACCTAGCTGGGCTCCTGTATCTTAACTTCATGGTGAAACTGACATGTGAACTACGTTATTTTCTTGCATAGCAGCTCTCAGGGAAACATAACATAAAAATACAAAATCCATTTAAATCCAATTAAATGCAGTATCATACAATCAATTAAAAGCAGCTGACGCTGTATGGTGGTATGTTCTGAACGTATCATGGAAAAGTACTCCGGCCTTCCCCAATCTGTCAGACCTGCGATTCTCAGAATTTCTCCACTCCCATCCCCACCAACAAATGGAACAGGATTCAAAGTATCTCAGCCTTTCATATCATTTAGTACACACAGACATATTCATTACAAGATAAACTAGGGAAAGGAAATGAATGGCTGGATCATTTTTCCTCACCGAAAAGAAGCCAGAATGCCCAAGGCTGCTGCCAGGGCTATGAGGGAGATGCTGCTTCCAACAGTGTACACTGTCTCCAATTTCATCAGATAAGATACCTGTAAAAAAACATGCAAGGAGAATTTTTTTTTCCAGGTAGAAGTTGTGTTTATGCAAGAAGCCCTTCAAGGCTGCCTTTAAAAAAATATGCCAATGTATCTTTTTTAGTCTTTATTTGCAATAAGCTTAGCACCCACCATGAATTAATGCAATTGATTTTCCCTATAAATCCTGGTTATTCCTCTAGTAGAATTCAGCTTGATTTAAAACAGGGAGGGACCAAAACAAAGAAACATTCCCAGCCAGGTGTGCAATTGCTTGGAGCATATTTAAATCAGAAGTTGGGTTTACACATTATATTAGACCAGAATGTGGTTTGTTTGGGGCTTAGTTCAATGTATGAACATGGCCATTATGATTGGTAAGCCCAGGTTTACAATTTAGAGTTATGTGTAAACTCAGTCACTATGGCTGTTTTGACAGACCATGATGAAAACAAATCATGGTTTAGCACCATAGATGAAACCAGCCAGGACCTACATGAGTACTTACATGAGTACATCAGGAATCAATGATCTGAGGGCATGATGAATTGCCTTGTTCACATGACCCTCAAAGGCCACGCCTAATTCAATGCAACAGCAGTCATGTATACAATTCTGCTATTTCAACATTTTGAAAGCATGTTTATTGAGGAGGCTGTAGAATTGGGCAGTACTATGTTGGATCACTAGGTGCTGCTATTTACAATCATTTTTCTTACATGGAGCAGCTTTGTTGTCTCTGAATCCAAGTAACCGAACAGAAGGAATAAACACATGTAGAATGAAGATTAAAATGACCCAAACATACAGTACATTTTCTGCACTGATAATAAAATGTCTATCTTTGTTTCTGTGGTTTTTATATCCCACCTTTCTATGTCTATTCAAACAGAATACAAAACACTTAAAACCTGTGCATAACAATTACAAAAGAACTATATTGCAAAATAAAAACAGTCTCATAAAACATAACCACTGAGAATAAAAGAGCACATTATTTCTATTTTTTAAAAAAGTCTGCAAAAATAAAAGTCTCTAGTGCCTGCTTAAAAGTGGGCAAGAAAATAAATTAGAAAACTAATGATGACAACATCCCACTTTTGTATATTGTACCTTCTGATCTAAGTCTGCTGGCAACATTCTCAAATAAGTTAAATTTTCAGGCAGTCTGCAGAACAACTCCTCATGGAAGCCATTGTAGTAATCTATGCTGTAATTGAGTAGTGTGTGAAAAACAAAAGCTTGATCCAATTCCTCCATCAAAGGGCATAGTTGGCTAATCAGATAAAAAAGATAGAATGTATTCCTATCCCCCTTGGGTGACCTACATATCCATTTGCACGTTCAAGTTTCAAACATATAGATTTAAGAAAAGTACAATGCCATTTGAAATAAGTTGAAACCTCCTTCAAAGTCTGTCAGTACCACAGATCTATAGTAGCCCTATCAGTTCTTAAATTGGTGGATTTTAACCTGAGCCAGCCAGATTTGCACTCTACTTGTCCTTCAATATGTTTCACTGAACCTAGTCCTTTGGTGCACCAAGAGAAGATCCAGTTCCATGAGGTCAGAGGAATGTCTAGGTGCAGTCATACCAACAAGAAACTCTTCCAGAGACATAGGACACTTCCAGACAATTAGTCTTTCTGATCTGCCAATCCTTCTGAATCCACTTTAAAATGCACCTAAGAATGAGTGAGAGGGCTTTGACTATTTTCAGACCTATTCAGAATACTACACGGGCACTATAGAGTTCACAGAGTACCTCCAATCACTTAGCGCTTGCTCTTTTGTCGAATAGCTGAGCAGAAAGAACTGTCAGCCAATCAGTGCTCACCTGCCTGCCAATAACTGCCTGCCTACATCCTCCCTCCCTCTTCACAATAATAAAAGAGAACAGAAGTCTATGTTTGCCATGGTGGCTAATCCCTGTGGCCTTCACCACTCTTAATGCCCATGTGATGGTAGTTCTGCATTTGGAGTTCTTCTCCCAATCATGCCAGCATGGTGCTAAGATGAGATCCCAGAAGATGGGAAGCTGGTCGAGCCAAGAATCTCCCTCCAACTGACCCCAGACTATCCTGTCAATCCTGAGGCAGCAACACCATCCATTTCTGAAGCAGCATTTGTTGCCTTGAAACAGCAATTCTGCTTTGTTGTTGTTGTTCAGTCGTTAAGTCGTGTCTGGCTCTTCGTGACCCCATGAACCATATCGCGCCAGGCCTTCCTGTCCTTCACTGCCTCCCTGAGTTTGCTCATCACTGACTTAGGGACAGAGGTGGATTTTTTTTTGTTATGTGAACTTTCACATTTCTGTGATTGCTAAATGGTGATCGGACCTTGGCATATGCATCAAGATTTTTACATAACTGTAGCTAATTTATTCATATGCAAAATAGTGGATATGCTTTTACACATGCATAAAATACTTTTTAAAAGCTTTTTTTTTTTGTACTCTACACATGCGTCAAATATCAGACCAGCTTTTGAGCTTGCATAAAGGATATTCTATCACATGCAGGAATATTACGTTTGAACAGGTGAACTCACCTTAGATTCCCACTCAGTTATAGGAGCATTAAGTTGTTCTGCATTTAAACCACAAGCAATATATGGTTTTGGATATTTTTCTGACCAGCCTTCCCTGGTGCAATTACGATACATAAACCCTGTATTGCAACAACAGGAACAAAAAAACCCACAATTAAGTACTGGAATATAAACAACACCAGCCTTCCCTGGTGCAATTACGATACATAAACCCTGTATTGCAACAACAGGAACAAAAAAACCCACAATTAAGTACTGGAATATAAACAACAGGAAAATGCCACTTTCAATACACAACCAAAAATTATCTGAATTTATTGTTAAATTATAGCAGATTGGTTGTTTAGTTATAATGTGATAAAAAGCTCTAACATTACTTCCCATTTCTAATGTTGGTATAAGGAAAGATGGTGTTTGTTTTTTTAATGAAAATCTACTTTATTTTCATTTTATAGATAGGAAGCCAGGGCTAAAACACTTATAAGTGCACGGACCAAAAGGTTTACAACTGTAATATGAACCCACAGCTAAGTACAGCATTGACTGGATTGATATACTGATAGGACACAAATACAAAAGGCCCAGGTGATGTCACAATGCACATTCTATCATTTTCTGCGTCATCGTGGTTTATACTAAATATCTTTGAGAGCATGCTAATTAATATTTTATTGAATAGACCACCATTAACTAGATTTATACAACTTATTATGAGAGTAACATGTGAACCAGACATTTTTGTTCATTTCGTAAGAATAGCAAACAAGCCCTGCTGAATGGAACCAAAGATCCATCTAATGCACTATCTTCTTTCTCAGGGTGCCCCAAGTAATTTTTTTGGGAAGGCACTTCTTCATGCCACTCTTCTGGCAAGTATGACATGAAGGCAACAGTTGCCCTCCATTGTTGCTCTTCATCAACTGGAATCAGGTATTCCTCCTAGCCATCATGGCTAATACCCACCGATGAGTTTATCTTCATCAATACAGTAACTGTCTAGGCAACTGAACAACCAGCAAGAGTCACTTTGAGCGTAGTAGCCTATAAACAAACAAGCAAGCAAGCCAATTCTTGGACCTGTTACCTTTTTGCTTGGTTCTGCAGCTCTCAGAGCTCACCCTGCACTTTGGTGCCAAAAATGAGCAATTGTAGTGTTCTGGGCTTTGGAGATGAGAAATAGGCAAAATTCTTGGTATAAGAGCAGAAGTAGGTCTAATACAGTTTGAAAAGCAAACTAACTCCTTCAGCTCCGAAAGCCTAAAACAACTCCCAGATCCTCTGAAAATGTGTGCGATCTGGCCTTTCCCACATTAGGTCCCACTCAATGTGAGCTGTGACCATTAAATCATGGTGTTCATGTTACCTGTTTGTCCCGTGACTATTTGAAAGGCTTGGGGACAGGGTACGCTAACAGTTTGTCCAATGGGAGAAGACAGCCAGCAGGTAAGATTATCCCACATGCCAAGGCATCTGCCTAAGGTGCAAGAAGAAAAACACATCAAAATAGCAAATGTCCAACCAGGGGCGGGGGGGGGGGGACCGTGTCACAATCCAAGTGCTGTGCCTGCAACAACCAATGTGTGGAAATCACCCTCTGTGAAGCACAGAGTGGAAGTGAGCACTGGCCTCACGCCGTGCCTTCTATCCTCCTTCTTTCTGATGCCACAGGTATTTTATAGCTGGTGGAAATATATGAAAGGGTTCCTCCTATTTACCCTGAGTCTCACAATGCACCTGCTGTGATTTAGATCAGCTAGGCCTGCATCATATATAACCCAATTAGCGCAGGG